AGAGACTATTAGAGAAACTGGAATTGGAACTCATTAGCATCTACTCTAATACTTTGACCTTCTGAAAATGACTGTCATTATTGCTAGTGCTGCGTATTGATACTCTGCTTGGCACAGCACAACATGCAAGATAGATGGTCTCTACCAGAGCAACTGAAAACAGGGGTTTGGCCAAAAGTTCTCTGCTTTAATCATCCTTATTTTCTTCCTTTTGCCTTTTATCAGTTGGCTAAAAATGTTACCATTTAATCACATACAAGCATGTTCCCCTTCCCTGTCCAGCCACAAATAATAATAGCCCAATCCACTGGAGTTTTTCCATGACTTTGATGAGAACTGGATCGGATCCAAAATGAAATGGTTTGGCAAGGAACGGAAGACCTTGTAGAAAACAGGGACAGTGGTGAAGGGTTGAAACAGCAATCCTTACGGCCATTAAAAATGGCACGGCCAACTTTTCATATCTAACGATATTTCACAACAGAATTTTTTTCAATTATGTTTCATTAGTATCATGTAGTTAAGAGAACCACTGCAACAAAGCAGAAACAGAAATGCTGTTGATAGTTTATGTTTGTATTACAGTAGTACTCAGATCTTAACTGAGATCAGGTGTACATACTGCCTTCAGTAAGAGAAAACATGCAGCATTGACACTGCTCTCTAATATTTTGTGCCTGCATTGCCCCTTACTTTCTCCACCTTTTCTTTTTATTGCTGGACCTTTCATGAACTTGAAAATGACACAGAAGAGGCTTCACAGTGATCTAAGTGTGGTAACTGGCTGTTCCAGCTATATGTGTTACGTGTTAAGTGCAGTGGGTCAGTCTAAGTAACTTCTGTAGTTCATCAGGTTCTACGTAAGGACTTCTAGAATATCTATCCTAAGTAGGAACCAATCCAAAAATACATAAAATAAACACTTATAAACTGCCAATCACTATGGTTACAGTTATCAGCCCTAATTCCCTATACCTCCATGGCTCACTAATAACGAACCCTCTGTTGTGGGAATGGCTGCTTAACAGCTGTGTTGCACAACGGTCCCTGAAGGTCACCAGATCGTTCTCATACCACAGTGGGAGCGGACACTCGCCATGGGGACATTCGAACGAAGTACCCGCCCCTGACTGGTGTTAGGGAGGTTGTGGGGTCAAGCGGTCTGAAAAAATTGCTTGGTGGCCAGTTTGGGTGTGCACCTGTCAGGCTGTGACTGCTCTGGCCCTGGTTCAGCGCAAAACTTGGGTTTTCACTGAAATTTGAGAGCTATCCCATACAGGGTTAAAACCTTCTTTTTGTACAGCAATTAATGTAGTACGTTAACAAGCTGAAATATGGCAGAGGGCCAAAACCCTAACGCATGCTATACGTTTGATTGTTTTTGCCAAACATTTCCAACCTCTCGAAACCATGATCACAATCGAAAACAAGGCAATTCCCTGCACGACCAGCCCCCCACCTTGAGCTCGTACGTAACACTTCCTTTGTTTTAACCACTCTGAATATCCCCGCCAGCTCTGGAATTTGTTTTGGCCTGTTTTCTAGCACAATCAAAACCTGATGGTTGTGTTCAGCATATAGACACCAACGCAGGCAACTGACTTTTGTCCTTCAGCAGCTGTTTGGTATTGCTTTTTGGCCAAGAACTCTCCAATAAAACATTAACACAAAAAAAAGAGAGGCAGAGACACTAGATAAACAATAATGATGTATCACAGACTGCTCTGCGAGGAGGACATTTTAAATGCCACCTTCTTTTCGGCTCATCGCTTAATTTTCAAGTCAGCATCAGCTTTGCATGATAAACATATGAACTGGTAGAAATGTCACAACATCTGGTAGAAGCATCCCACTTCCTAAATTTGAAAAAAATAAATGCTTTCCCAGTGGCAGAAAAATATCGACGTATAAAACAGTGACAAAAGCTTAAACAACACTTGACATATTCTAATCCTACTGACACACAAATATTCTCAGGAGGTAAATAGTGCCAAATGGTACATTGACATCAACACCTCCCGTTTCTAATTACACACAACTGGAAGCATTTTGGAGCTGCCTCAGAACTGGATTTTTAACTAGCAGAATTAGTGTAAAATTAATTGGGGACTATTTACAGTATGGCTACACTATAGCACTGCTATAATGTAAAGAAATCATTTAACAGGCATCATATAATATAAGCATATAAATTTTTACCAGTCTGTAAATACACCTTGGAGACCATCAACACACAGAAGGTGAAGAATAAGCTTTTCCTCAAGGGATACTCTTCTTCAGTTTCTTTTGAGGACACATTTTAGAAATGTAAATTATTTATCCTGAACTAATTACTAAGCTTTGGAAGAATACTAATCATTCTCTAATTGAAGTGACTTTAAATCTAGCATGTAGTATCATAGCTTGGAAATGTCTTTGCAGGATTGCTTTATTTCCTTGCACAGAAAATATAAATGAAAATCAAGTCATTAATATTTCAATACAGTCATTCTGTTATTGTCTCTTCAATCGAGTTTGCCAAAATAAGTAATGCCGCAGTTACAGGCACGGATTCTAAGATCCAGAGCCAGCCACGCATGGCCTTTACGTGACATTCATCATGTTTCACCAGATTCACCCAATTAGCAGAATTACCATACAATCCACAGGAAGATTTCAGTACGTTTGGCAGATGGGAGATTTCAATCATATGTTTTATGCGGCTCAGATTCTGCATGAAGTCTCTGCAGTGCGGAGCAAGGGTGAAGGGGAACAAGAAAAGGAGACAGAGAAGCCCAGTGCTCAAAGTCTGGTCGACTTTCTGTAGGACGCCTCCTGCCAAGTCGGGGGCAGAAGAAAGACGCCAAGTACCAATAGGGGATCAAGCTCAAAATAAACGGATTCTTTCCCAAAGCCAGTTCCCTTAAAGCAGCACAAAAATGACGCTGTGCTGTTCATCCAGCTCTCAATTGTCAAGGTACTGGACCTCATCAGGTGTACAGATATCCGATTAATTCAGTTATTTCTAATATAAACAAAGAAACAAAGGGTATTTTCATGGTATTCGGCCTTTGACTTCAAAGAAAAATTAGTAGAATTCTTTGTGTTTAGATTATAATCGTAAAATGACTGCAGAAATCACAGAACATGTGGTTGTTCTCATTTGACTTAATCTGCTAAAGCCGATACTGAAGATTTTGTCAGGAACTGGTCTTGTACTAGGAACAGGAGAAATTAAGGGATTAATTCCCTGAGCCTAAAATGCTGTCATAACCCTGTAATTGTGATAATTCTTAAAATTGTAATTTTGAAGTAAATGGTTACAGTGAATCAAAAACCAAAATAAGAATAGCTTTAAATGCTAGCATGGCTGAATTCACTCTGTGCTGAGGGAAAAGTGACATGTGTGGTTATTTGTGTTTGTAAAGCAGTGGTATTTCCACAGCAGAGACACCAAGAATTAATGAGCAGCGCTCGTAAGCACTTTAAGGGCACCTGGGAGCAAATGTAGGAATAATACTGCTTTAGCCTCATCAAAAGAAAACTGAAATAGAATAAACAGGCCAGTGCGTGCAGTAACACTGTCACGGACAATACAGGGATTAGTTTTGTACAGATCAACGGCCGGTCCTGCGGGTAATGCAATTCCGTGCACTGCTGGTTTTTTGTGTACTTAAGTTTCAGGCACGTTTGGAGATCTCGGGCACGACTACAGTGCAAAATGCAAAGTCTTAGCCCTAGGTCAGTAAATATCAGTAAGGTGAGACCTGACTGAAGGTGTTGGCATAAATATGCAGAGACCTGCAAGCGGTAACTTGTACTGGTAACACCGCAGTGTGTAGGAGACTGGAAAAGGGAAACAATTGATAATAAATCCATAATACAGTAAACTCTTTTCTTTCCTGTACGGTATGTGCTTGATCACTCCTGCGACCGGCAGGATCACCGCAGTGTCACTGCACTTCAGTGGGCTCGGCATCAACCCTGTGAATAGCACTGAGCACAAGATATGACGGAGGAAAACAGAAGGTTAAAGAATACGCTGCATGATAAAATAATGCATCAATCAGACCGAGCTGAAAACTGTCCTGTTTGTCCAAAACCATTGTTTCACAGAGTGAGAACACAATGTCATGGCAGTAACAACTCTCGGCCTGCAAATAACATTTTATATCTTTGATAATGATACATAAAGTAGAAAATGTTGCACTTGACTTTCTTGAAATATCTGCTTTCCCTTAAGCAGGTCCCATTGAAATAATGGCAAATTCATCAGATGGTCGCAAATGGACCCAGACATAACAAGTTCCTTCTTGAATGAAGAGGTGGCCTGAGGTAGGCTTTTTTATCCACTGTGTATAAATGAGGAAAAGGAGATAATGGTGCTAAAGGAACATTGCTCACTTAAAAATATGACTGTTCCTGCCCTAAGGTTATTCTACCGATGTTTGAATGATTAGAAGAATTAGGTTTTCCTGTTTTTCCCTTTTTTCCCTGTAGCTGTAGGACAAGGGGAAGCAGAGGAACTGTCTGCGTGAATAGCGTTGCCAGATGTGCTAGTAAACAAGTGGAAAAATACTTATTTTTCGTAAGCGTATTCCCTAAGCTCTTACTTACAGTGATTATAGGCAATACTTACTTAGAAAGGCATTTAATACGTTTCCTCCTAAACACCTCCCCCACTACAGCACCCTTGCATGGGCCTAATGCTTAACATGGGAATAGTCCCAGCGAGGTTAGCGAGGCCACCTTTGTCCATCCTTGACTGCAAATAGAGCCATTTGCTGATCTGGGAGCTGCTGACTGAGCCCTTTGCTGGACTGGTGTTCGTGTGCTCCCATACCCACCAACGGCCCTGATTAAACGTGCAATTACAACTCCAGAGCAGCAAGGCAGACCACTGCGCGGCGGATAAAACCACCACTACGTCTCCTGCTACAACAGCTCTAGGTCTGACTCCTGAGCTTGACCCTGCACAGTGACAGTCCGTTACTCAACACCAACACGAAGACGGATGGTACCTTTCTTTTCCCCTGTAAACGGTACAAAGTCTTCTCTGTCTTTGTGCTCAAGCGCTTGCTTCTCCAAGTACGAGAGCAGGCGTTCCCTGTCGAAGGGGCCCGTGGCAGGTTTAGTGGTCTGGTCCTTTTGCCGAAATCCTGCTGGAAGCAAGGCGTTCTGTGAAAGAGAGGGAGGCATGTAAAGGAGATGAGGCAATTTCATATAGTGTTCCAAATCTCGTCGCAATGTTGTTTTTTAAATGAAACCAGTCTTTGCATGTTACTTCACATAATGCTCTCTGGTGACAGCAGTAACGCACATTACCTAACTGTAACCACTAAAACCAGTGTATCTTCCAGGCTTCTTGATTGTACCACCTATTATTATTTTTATTAACCATATCTACAATCATAGCACTAAAGAACTGAGCAAGATCAGAGCCCTTTGTGTTACACATATTATAACCACAGAGTTTACAGTCCAGGTGAATAGACCAGGATAAGTTTTCTATATATTTTCTTCTCTTCATTTACTCTTTTTCCTCCCCATTTTTCTCTCTCTCATTTTTTCAAAAATTCCTTTCATTCTAACGCAGATGTCTCTTGGACTTCAGAAATGAATGCCACACACAGAAAGTAATTGGTGAATTATGTGGACTTCAGCTATTTAGAGGATGCAGGAAGCAATCAGATGAAGCCCCACTTTAAACACGTAGCTGTGTGACCATGTGATTGTGGCTGCATCCCATAATATAGGAAGATGCGTAAGGCTCCCACATTTCAGCCCAGGAAATCCCAGAAAGGAATACAGGTACGTGGACTTTGCAGTGCATGAGCAGTAAAGCCAACACGTTGAAGGTGCCCCAGAGTGCTGCAGAAACACTTCATCGTTGGCCAGAACACGCACGGTAAATCTGATACGTGGCAAATACCCAGTGAATCCTGAGCACGCCCAGTGAACTCAAGGCACTAGACATTTTACCTGTGCATGCACAAACGTGCCCAGAGTGCTACAAATTTACTGCATGTATGTAGCTTGACTACAAATGCACCGTGGCTTTTTTGTTGTTGTTGTTGAATGTTCTGTATCTCCATTTGAGATGCCAGATACTTGAAAATACCAGAAAATGCACTGTGGAAGTGGTAGTAGTGAGGGAAGTGGCAACGTGGAGGGAGAGAAGAGTAAAGCCCACCCTTAATTTCCAGGTAGATTTGTGCTAAAGAACTAGAAGCTGTAAATCTATTGTGTTTTTTCAAATTTACTTTGTCTCCAGAGCGAATGGGTTTCATCTGCCAGTTTACCTGCCAGTTTTCAAACTCCTACACCCGTTTGGAAGGCTTTGGGGTAGGTACAGTCAGAATTCCCAACCAGCATGCTTGTGACTGTAACCTCGTTATTGTAGGACTGAGTGGTTCCCAGGCCAGAGATCTTTAAGTTCTTTGTGAGAGCATCTTCAAATACCCAAATTATCCTCGCTCTCTAGAAAATGACAGTTGTGTAGCTGAATCTTATTTTTCTTAATCATGCCTAAATATATTCTCTTCAGCTACAAATATCTGTGCCGAATGACATGGTCGACAGATTTCAGAAGCTCAAAAGATCTGATCTTCACAAACACACATTATGTTTGTTTGTTTATTGCTGTGCTCAGAAATAGCAGCCATAAAAAGCTTCTCATCGTGCTGCAGCGTACAAACATGATTAAAGATTTAGACTGCAGGCAAGCCAGTGTCTAAATAGGCAAGGGATAGAGACAGAGCACACTTGTACAAAAGCAAGTAGC